ATTATTGCCATTATAATAAATTTTCAGGTAATTATTCAGAAAACATAGGAATATTATTATATCTTTCATTTCATATTGCTTAGCTCATATTACCTTTTAAATAATCTAATGATTCTATTTCTTCTCCACCTATAGATATTCGATTCTTCAAATAAAATGAGATTTATAATTTTTTTATAGAAAAAAAAAACTTACTGTTTTTCATTGATAAAGGCATTATCCACTGTGAAGTTGGTTTTGTATATTTGGATATTATTAGAGTAGGCTGAAAAATTTCATCATTACATAATTTAGTATAATCGGCTGAAGTTAATAATGTTAATTGTACAAAATGAGGTAATGAACGTGCTATAATATATCCTGAATATTCACTTTCTACAGGCCATGTTCACCAGTAAAAATTGGAAATTCCTTTAATTGTTCCAACACGCGACTTTGGAGGTTTTTTTTATACATTCTCTATTATTTGAATCTACTAATTCTAATTCTAAAATATTGTTTTTTGGTTTTCTATTAGGTTCAATGTTCACTATAAATGTTCCAGCAAGGCTTTGGCCTGCTTTTGCAATATCAGATCCCTCAGAAATATTCAAGCCGATACGAATATGTCTTTTTATAGCATGTGCAATCTAATACAAATAATTAGTAAGTTGATAGTTTGGTAGAATTTTATGAACATATTATATACTTACAGCTGTGTAATGCAAATCAACAGTTGTCTTAGCTTCACAGGTTCTAAAAAGAGCCATCCACGAACTTCTATATCATACTAGCTGTTCTAATGCACTACAATAATCATTAGTTCACTGTTGTGATAGTGCAGGCCATTGTCAGAAATAATTTTTATCCACTTGGCTTTTCTAGGTAAGTTAACAAAAACTGTTTCAAAACAGGATGCAGTAAACCAAGCGTCTTGTTTAGTATCAGTTGACTAATGATCGTAGGCATTAATATTCATTTCTTGTTCATTTTCTAATAAAGTAAAAACCAGTATTGTGTGAAGTGTCCATCTTCATTTACCGAAGAATTCCTGTTTGTTTCCCTGGCTGATTTTGGTAATATTCTCATCTTATAGTCAGCAATTAATATAGCTCTATTAGAATCAAGACTGGAAAGTGTTGCTTTGAATTGGTTGTTAAGATATACTTTACGGGCATAGTGAGCAAGAAAATATTTTAATTTTTCATACATTTCATTCACTTTTTTATAATATTCATTTGGTATAATAGTTTTAAAAAACTCAAAAAAATTGAAAAATTCATCACATTCAGTGCATCTGGTCTCATGTTGGGTTGAACATTCACCAAAGTCATATAGAAGACAGTGATTAATACATTTATCATGTAATGGAATTCCATTTGCTTCATTAATCAACTCCTTTTCAAAATTTTTTCTTAGCTGTTATTGCAGTTTTTCAATACGTAATATTAAGGGATCCTATAATTAATAGTAAGTTATTTATAACCAATATATCAAATATTTATATATTTTATATGTTGAATTAAACTTTGTGCCAAATTAAAATTAAATGCGAAGTTTAAAATTAGGGTAGGAATTTAAATCAGAATATTTTAATTTGATCCAAATCTCTAATTTAACACACTTAATATATACAGTTAACTTTGTATATAACGAGCTTCTATATAACGAATTCTGGATATACTGAACTCAAAATTTTAAAATTTTTATAATAGTTCAGTATAGAAAGTGCAATGGTTCTATGGACACAAATCATTAACTCTTCACGACGATCACTTGTACCAAATTTTTCATAAAAACAATTGCTATTTTCTCAAAATTTTATTAAGTAAACCATTTCTGG